ATATTTAAATGCCATTTCTAAATCAAGACCGACGAATTCTGTCAAATGTCTATGAGTATTAGAATCTTCAGCTCTAAAAACTAAAAAATTATCATATGCAGCAATATCTTTCCAGACAACTAAATGAAATAATAACAATTTTTAGATTAAAAATCACCTGCTCCTACGGTAAAAACTTTATCAAAATCAGCAGCTATCGCCATTTGTTTATAAAGTTGTGGAGATTGTGCTAAATAAGCATTTCCTTTAAAATACGATACTGTGAACACATTTGCACCACCTTCACTTGCAGCAGATATGATCTTTGGTGTATGAATTTCAACAAATCCCTATAGACAAAAATTTATGAATAAAATTTTATATACAGTTCACAATTGTGTGAAATTTATTATTATATTGGTAACTTACTTTACTTGTAAGTATATCTCTAAATAATTTACAAACAGCTGCTTCAACTCTATATATAGCCTGATTGGCTGGAGTCCTTAAATCCAAGACTCTGTTATCCAATCTAGTATCCTGATTCACTTTTATGTTCAAAGCATTCTCATCAGCTTCTCCAACAGGCCTTGAAGCATCTTCAATTTGTAAAGGTAATTGTGGTTTTGCAGCACTTATTACAAAAACTTTTTCAATATGAACTTCAACATCTTTTTGAGTACACGACTCAATTTGAGAAGGAACACATTTTACAATTGCTTCAATATCCACAATAGATTCTTTGGTAATACTATAAAATAACTTTATAAGTTACAAAATAGCATTAAGTTACTAACTCATCTGTGGCACTTACTTGGATAAGAACTTAATCATTTGTTTGCTGACTTTTTCATTGACTGCAGCTAAACCTTGTATTGTGTAAGATTGTTGTCTTAAAACAATAAAACATTGTTTACCTATAAAAAAGATGTTTAGCTTGACATTCTACATATTAACAGTAATTGCTACAATGATTATATACAATACATATTACTTTATGTCTAAGTGAGATACCTTTAGCACGGCTAGTATGTAAACGTCCTCTTATCCATACAGTCTGGTCTTCTAAGTTGGGATTCAAATTTTTAATATCAATAAACTTTCTTTCTGTATGTTTATCTTTACTTTGTATTAGTCCTGTATCTCCATACTTTCCAATTGATACATCTTCTTCTTGAACCTTATCTTGTTGTGTTTGCTACATATATAATTCAAAGATATTTCATTAAAAATCTAGGTATCAAATTTTACAAAATAATTTTTTTATTAAAATATATAAAAATTGTGTACATTTTGAGCTTTACGTTCAGCTTTCTTTGCTGCTTTCTCTGCTTCTTTTTGCTGCTTTTTAAGAGCCTTTTTAGAAAGCTCGTCACTTAAAAAAAAAAGAAAGAAAGCAATATAAAAATATAATTTTCTAATGATTACTTTTTAAAAATTACGATTCATCTTACCCTTCTGTGGCTGAATTTGAAGGTTTATCTTCTTTCATCTAAGAATATGATGTAATATAATATAAGTTTAATGCATTTAAATTACATAAAGAGAAAATTGTATAAAAAATTCGTGAAAATGAAGATTAAAATAATAATCTGCAATTTTATTAATTTAAAATTATTATTAAAAATACAGACCTTTAGTTTATTTAAATCTCAAAGCACGCACTTATGGTAATCTCTTTATCATATACGAATAGAGGTTATCTACATCAGCTATCATTTACAATATTTGCCGGAAGTATAATATGCAACTCCAGCTGCATTCTGAAATTTACTATCTTCTTTTTTACTAAATTTTAACTATATAAAAATACAGATATTATATACTAATTTTAATATATATATATATATATATATTACAGAAATTTTCATGTATTTCAATGTGTTTAAAAAATTTATACTATACGAAATCTTTTTAAAACATGATTATTCAATTAAATAACATGACTTGTATTTTAAAGCCAAAAAAATAACAGAACAAATTGTGAATTAATTTTATTTACTTATAATTTAGAATAATGTCTTGTCAAAAGATTATTAAAATAACCTTATGAATTCTTTCAGTGTAAAATTAAAATAATTTCATCTATTCTATGATAGTAACAAAATTTGTGGAGGAGGAATATATTAGACAAGATGAGCTCGCATCGCAATCTCTTTTAAATTATAAAATTAAAACTTTATGTTCAAGAAACAATCATTTTTGCTCCACCATCTGCAGAATCCAATAGAATTGATACTTGTTCTTCTGAAGATATTGGTAAAGAATCTTTAAGTAACGGTTTTTCATTGGTTTTCACTGATGTTTGATGTTCAGATTTTAAAGTTTTCACAGCACTTTGCATAGCATCATTCCAGTTTGCCAAGCCCTTCCGTTTATCACCTGAAAAAATAGGAGCTCGAGATTTGCGAGCGAGCACCACCTTACCACAGGACATAAAAACAAATAACAAGAATAGGTGCAATGACATTTTTATATCTATAATCATCTAATAATTCTTATTAACAATCTTTTTTGATATCTACATATATTTCGTTGAAAATTATATTATATTATATTATATTATATTATATTATATGTATTAAAAATTTTTTTTGCTCTCTTTATTTCTTACTTTTCAATTTATCTGATGAATCATCAAACGATGGATCTTGAATATTTAGCATCAAGCCATTACCACTTAAATACAAACGATTTGGAGAATTTGCAATCTGAAACAAAAATTGTTTATTACATAAATCTGTGATAATTTATTAGAACAAAATTTTTCTATAATTACCGTGCGGGAAATGTTTTGTGCTGCACGAATTTTTCGTAATTTTAAGTAACCTGGATTTTGACTAAGAGCTAAACCAAGGTACACTGGAGTTAAGGATATTTCTATTAGAAAACATGATATATATGTACAAGATTATAATTATTTATATTTATAATTATCATATTTTTTTTAAGGATATCATTTTAGCAGCTTCTGCTTCACCCTCTGCTTGAACAATTTTTTGTTGTTTCTCTTGTTTTGCTTTTTCTACGAAAAACGCGGCTCTTTGTGCCTCCTGTTGAGCAACTTGTTTAGATTCTACAGCAGCTGTATATTCTTTACCAAAACTTAATTCAGTTATTGACACATCATCTAAAACAATATTAAAATCTTGAGCACGGTCGGTTAATTCTTTTCTTACTAAATTTGACACCTGTTGCCTCTGTGTAATTAGCTGAGATGCATTAAACTTTGCAACAACTGATTTTAATACTTCATTACAAATACTTGGTAAGACCTACAACACAAATAATCATATTTCAGTGATAATCCTATTAAAATTTTGATATTGCGACAGAGAAATTAGCTCAACCTTTTCATCATAATCAAGACCTAAATGACGATACATTGCAGGTAATTGAGTTGCATCAGGACGAGAAAGCACACGAAGAGAAATATTGACCATTTGTAGATCTTTGGATCCTGTAGGTGAAGATAATTTTCTAGGTCTACTTCTAATATCATAAATAATTGGCCAATGAAACCATGGAACACGAAAATGAAGACCTTCAGTTAAAATATCTTGCTGAATTCCTCCCAAACGTGAGAATATGATTGCTCTATGACCAGCTTCCACTAAAATAAAATATAATCATATTAGTATAAATTTAACTTTTAACTTAATTTTTTTTAATTAGATTTTCATAAAATTCTATGTGATATTTATGTATATATAAGTATATATATTGATAATAATTTGTATATATAATTTATACTATATAAATAATAATTTGTTTAATGAATTATGTAAATCAAACCTGTATACATAGATTTCCAAACACCATAACCCGTCATGCCGACTGCCGCAAGGCATGAAGCAGCAAATCCCATTCCATTAGGAGCTTTAGGGAATTTAAACTCATTCATTTTATTCTATTATACTATTTACTAAAATCACGTTTATATATTGCTACGACAACTTAGAAATTAAGAATTTATAACAAATATATTGTATTTTGTTCAAGAACAAAAATGCATTTAAGAACTTTGAATGAAAAATGGAAGGCACGAGTGCACGAGCCGGGATTCACATTAAACAGCGATACCAAACTTACAATTTGTGAGATAGCTATGCTATGTATAATTTATTCTCTATGAAAGTCTTACCTTCAAGTATAAGAACAATGACTTAAAAAGTATTTTCATTTATTGTACTTAAAAAGAAATTAAATTTCTTACCGATTTTTCTAATCTCTGTTCATTAAAATAATTTACTTAGTAATAAAAAGTAAAAGATAATAAAGATATAAAAGACATGTACAAATCACATGTTGTACTAGATAATTTTTTATCTAAATGAATCATTTATATTACTTAATTTTGTTTAAGCATATATTAATGAAAAAAAAAAAAATACTGTAAAAAGACATAAATCCATATACATATCTATAATATGTATATAGATTTAGAATAACGAATGCAATCACAGAAACATGGCGCTGTGTTATATGAGGTAGTAAACTATCGCTTAATTTTTTGACAAATTTTGTTGTATTTAATAACACTAATATCAAAAATTGATTTTGTTTAGATTGCTTTGCCGGCGAAACATCAATCCTTGTACTTTCCGGAATTTATACACCTCGAGGTAATTTATTACATAATATGTAACCTTTACTTTATTTAGATGTCATTTATGATTTTATAAATTGATTATTTAAAATAATCTTTTAGCTCAAGAAATGTTGCCATATCGAAACCATTTTTCATGGGAAGTACAATTTGCGAAACTCATGATGAAAAAAACCTGCGCCTTAAAAGACCTATGTCACCACATTTGACTATTTATCAAATTCAATTAACGGCATTCCTTTCAATTACACATCGTACAACAGGCATAATATTATCAACCTATGCTATGTTGCTTGGTTTTGGTAAAATCTATTATTCATTTTCATAAACCAAAACTAAAATGATGGAAATCTGTAAAATAATTTTTGTTGTACAGGAACATTACTTATACCAGGTGGTATTCCTTGCCTCATAGAAATAATTACAAATTTAGGTTTATCAGCTCCTATTCTTTTCGCGGGAAAAACCTTGATTGCTTTTCCTGCTACATTTCATACATTAAATGGATTCCGTCACTTGGTAATAAAACTTTTTTAAAATTTACTGTTTGCATATGTTTACTAGCATAATTGTCTTTGATTAATATTTTTTGTTGTTAATAAAATTTTATTTACAGGCTTGGGATTTAGGAATGTTCCTCACAATTAAGGAAGTGTATAGCACTGGTTATGCAGTAACGGCATTATCAGGAATTTCCGCTCTTGCTCTTGCTGCAATATAAATTTAGATAATTGTATTATCTTAGAACGATATAATTTATATTGAAAATTAATTGTACTATTAGATCAATGTGTTCTATCTTGTATTTTGGAAACTGTATTAAATTTATAAAAAAAAAGTCAAAACTAGTCGCTATTAGTATTTAATTTAGTAAAATAGTAAATATAAAACACAATTTACAAATGTATGAATTTATTTAAAAATTTGAATAATTATATTTTAATATAAGCAAATATGTGAATATGTCACACAAAACCTTCAAGAGATGAATCAATAAATTTTTTGTAAATTGCCATAAACCGTGCAACAAACGCTTCTAAGTGGAAAATTGGTTTTGATCCTTTGTGCATTCTATGTTCATATTCTGCTGCAACTGTCGCAATCTCAATTTTTAATTGAAGATCGCAATTTTTTATACATTCTTGTAAGAGACCTTTAAATATTAAATCACATGGTATCGCGTGCGTCAATAATTCATAGAGTCTGCTTCTTATTGCAAGAAGCTTTTTTGGACTTTGTTCGCTGACCATCATACTTGCTGTATTACGAATATATACTTGCCAGTCTGGTTCCGTAATATTTTGATCTGCAGTAAATGGATATCTAAAAATAAAAGAATAAATTGCTACATTGCTTTAGTGAAATACATTAATTTAAACCAAACCTATGGATACACTTACTGTTCAACTTTACAAGCTTCGAGCATTAATATTGCTCGTCTGAGATTTCTACCACTAGTCTCAGCCAATTTTTTGGCTAGTTCATCAGGCAAAATTAAACCTTCACGTTTACAAATTAAATGCAAAATATTCTTTATATCCGATATTGATGGTGCTGGAACTCTAATTCCTAAGCATCTTGATCTAATGGCTGGCAAAACACGTGATGTTGAATTTGCGCAAAGTATTAATCTACATGTAGCAACATATTTCTCCATTGTTCTTCGAAGAGCATGTTGTGCATCTTTTGTAAGCTGATCCACATTAGTTAATAATACCACTAATAAAGAAGTATTGTTATTAATGAATGCAAAGGAATTAAAAATGTTCAATGAATTTACCTTTAAACTCTTTTTGCCCACTTGGATCTATTTGATGAGTTTGAGCTGTTGTTTTTACCAAGTCCATTACTACTACCCTATCGTGTATACCAACATCACTTGGATTTACTTCAATATGATAATTGCTACTTATTGTTGTTATCTCTAGTTTCTTCTTGGAAGGTGTCTGAAATCACAAATTTATTATTTTCAAAATCAAATTAAATATATAAAAATATAACTTGCCTCAAATGTCATAGTTTCCATTCTCAATCTATCAACTCCACACCCATATAATTCTCTTATGATACACATAATACGAGTTTTTTTTCCTGCTCCTGATGGTCCATAAACTAATAAATGTGGAAAATCTCCTTTTTGTATCTACAATCACAATACAAATATTTAAATTCTTTTACATTTTGCATAATATTGCAAGTGAAACAAAAACCACATTTTCAATATAACCTATTATCTAATTTATCATTTACTCATTTAACTATATTTTAGGATAATATTACCATGTTTTTCAAATATTCCGCTTGTTCTTTATGATAATCTAATTTTCCAAGTGATGTTGGACGATATTTATCCACCCAGAGACTCATATTTGTTTGAGAAGTGTTATTATTTTCAATACTATTTAATTTGACGTAATAAATTATTATTAAATATTATTATTAAATATATTACAAAAATAATTACATTTCAAACATTTAGCATCATTAAGCAATAATTTTTCTTTTACTTATCTACGTGCATATAATTCTAAAATAAGGATACGCGATGCCAGTATTTCTGTTTCCATAAAGTAACGAATTCAAAAGCGCGCGAAACTGCAAGTTATTAAAATATTTATGCTGATTGATTTCGTATACATTAGGTGATTTTTTTTTTATGACATAAAAATATTAATAAACAATATTACTCTAATTTTTTAATTAAATTTTAATTTTTATTTGTATATTTTATTGTACAATATATGTTTGTTTTTAATAAAAAATTAACACACTTTGGTAGACACATTATAAAAAAACAGATTAATATTATCGACAATGAAATAATTACATACTACAAGAGTATGTAAATTTTATAAAAATGAAATTACATATGAAATAAACTTATTCATATGTAATTTATTATACCATATTATACTTAAAAGATCAATACTAATAATGGCAGTGTGAAGATGCTAATGATATTCAATAATAAAATATATAATCATTGAAGATTGCTATTTTGCAAAATGAAACGAAATTTTCAAAATACAATCAGATTTTTTACGTAAAGTTTGCTTGATAGATAGAATGAACTCAGTTATGGAATGAGAGTTAAAGAATAAATTCTTAAATATTTAGAAATTATTATACTTCAACAGAAGGTAGAATAGAATGTTCAGACTTCGTTATCACATGCTTTCAACGATATGTACAAGATACACAATATGTGTATGTGTGTACTACATTAATATTTTAAGTGCACCAATATGTAAATGCTTTTAATTTACGGAATCATTTTGATTGTAGAAAATATATAATCTTACTTTAGATAATAATTCCATGAAATTTGTAATAATTTATAAGTACGTTTACTTAAATTATATCATGCAAACAGGTCACATGATTTATAATTGTAATACTTTGGATAAATGTATTGTCCAATATTTTTTTATCTTGGATATATACAAATAACGTTTAAAACTATTGATACGATTTATACTTATTACTTAAGCTTGTTCAAAATTATATGGCCAATAGATAAGAAGAATTAGTGTATACATGAACAATACGAAAATAAAATATCTTATTCACTTACACTGATTCTACTAGAAGTGCAAACTGCACGTGTAATCCTACACGAAATATTTAGTCGTTTACTGTATTAAAAATAAAAAATATTACGTTCGATATCTCAAAGTATATCGAATGATACACGTTTATACCCAAACACCATGTGGATTTTTACTCGTAGGTACCGCAGTCTCCAATTGTCTTGGTGAACCTATCATTTTACGCGTACTACCAGGTTTATGGGTGCCTATATGGAGAACCGAATTAATTAACATTTCAACAATATTTGAATTTAAGTATATAAATACCTTCAAATAATGATTTGACTTGGTCATCTTGACAAGCAACAGCAAGACTTTGTAAATTAGCTTCTTTCATATCTGTTACTAATCGTTCTACTTGTAATTTTTTTTCAACAATTGCTGACTCTAAACTTACTACTTCCAGTTTTAATGTTTCCGCACACTGGGAAGCTAATTCAGCAGAACGTTTAGCTTGTTCTACTTCATTTTGAAGATGTTCAACTTCGGTAATAATTTTACGTTCCATTATTTGTCTTTCGTCTGTTTCACGACTTATATTATGTTGTTCTATCGCAAGTTCTTCCATAACTAATCTGCAATAAAAACAATTAATTTTGCCCTTAAATCAAAAGATTTAACGATACTCCTAATCTTTTACCTGATTTTATTTTTACACTGAAGTAATTCTGTTTCACAATTTGCAAGTTTTGATCTCAATAAAGTAATTTCTGATTTTAATGTTTTTTCTTGCTGTCTAACTATTTCACTTTCTTCTTCAACATGCGCCAGTTCTTTTAACTGTAAAAATAATAAATATTGTTACAATTATGATACCATACAAAGTATTTCATAAATTCAAGTTTATAATATGAAGTATTGTATGAAATGCATACTTGTTCTTCGATAAGACGTCCAGTAGCTTCCATACGATTTACTTCCTGAGAAATAAAATCCATCTGATGCATTTGTTCTCTATTTTTAGTTTCCCAATACAATATTTCAGCATCAAACTATAGATAAATAATAAAATATATATCTATATATATGTTTTAAAATTCATTTTCATGTGCGATTAAACATACAAAATTACAAAATTCATACTTTAGTAAGATCTGCTTGCTGTGCATTAATAGTATCACGTTGCTTATTGACTAGTCTAATAAGTTCAACATAGCGTTGAGTGTAAGCAACTGTAACCATATTCTGAGCTTGACCAGATAATTGGTTTATGGATTGAGTTTGTCCTTTTGTTTCTTGAAAGTCCTAAACATACAAAAAAGATTAAGAGCATTAATTGCAATAACTATATTATCACTGTGTGATATCTGCATGAAAATATCTAACTATTTGTGTATATATTTCATATTTAAAAAATATCTTGTCTGTAGAACCTGAATAAGATTTCTCTTTAGTTTGACAGAACTACTGGAAGATGGTTGATCTTCTTTATGTACATGAGGACTTCCAATATTTGTATTAGATTGAAACTGTGATCTTCCAGGACTATTTAAGTTAGGTGGTGGAGGATCTCTGTATGGGGGTAAAGTTCTTAAAGGTGGTGAAGCTGGACCTGGAGGATCCCTATATGGGGGAACTTCACGCACTTTCTTTTGTGATAAATGTGTGTTACTTTCGCTGCTACTAGCACGGGTAGGAGACTGAGCTGGTTTTTGTATATTTTTTCTTATATTCAACTCCTTATTTTTTAAATGCAATGTAGGTTGAACTATGGCAACATTTTCCATTTGAATCTAGAATATACACAGAAAATATGGTAAAATATCAAAGATTAACTGTATTAACTGTGAAAATGTATAATATAATTTAAATATTGTTTACTTCTGTGTTATTTTCCACAACATGTCCATGTAATCCTCCAAATGTTAATGATTTTCTGATGTCACGATTTCTATCAAGACATCCTTGTAAATCATCAAATTCAGAATTTGGAGTTGGGGTATTCTTAGCGTCATCTTGTCCACTATTACTTGTGATATGATCTGAACTCATTAGACCATTTGATCTTGTACCATGATTTAGACGAGATCCCAATGAACTAGAAGCCTTATTATTTTCTGGGGTAGAACGTCTTAATATCAACTGAACTTCTGAAGAATATTCTCCCCATTTCATCAGAATCTTATGAAGATAAATTACATTATTATATGAGTTCTATATTAAATTATCAGTTAGTTACTTGAAAATTAAACGTGAACTTGAATTAATTAATACCTTTAAAGGATTTTCATATGGAGCTAAAAGACGTTCGTTAGTTCTCCACCTTTCTATTAAAGTAAATCTACCTGTTTGGCCCGTTGCATGAGCAAGAGCATATACTACATCCTAAAAGTTAAATTTTATTATATTGACTATACATTTATGAAATTATTGAATTGTAGAATTTAGTGTTTAAAGTTGTGAATATTACATCATCCAATATAATTGTAATATTTAAAGAAAACATTGTTAACCTGACATGTAGTGGTTTCTGTCACACCACATACAATACGTTGTATTCCTTCTACCCATACTTTCAGCTCCATAACGTCATCAATTTAGAATCTCAAGATTAAACTTTTGCATCGCAAAATTTTATTCCTGAAAAATGATAAGCCATCTGTATAATTATTGTTATCATTAGAGTGGATATTTTGTGCATTAAAAAAAATCAATGATCACATGCATTTACAGAATTATTATCAAGCTTCATTAAATAAATATGTTCGATAAAACTTAATATTGTAATAGTCCGTTGGCTATAACCTTAACTATATAATTATTAAAATGACAGATTTACGTCCATGTTAATGCAGAACATAGGTAAACGCTTTTCTCTGAATTTGTTAGCAGTTTGGCTTTATTATTTAACAATTAATAATTAATTGATATATACCTTTGTTAGACAAATGCATTTTTCTCAGATGTTTCAACTACTTAACAATTTATAATATTTGATATCAAATAATAAAAGAAATTTGATAAGGAATATTCAGCAATCGAAAGTTCCACAAGAGGGAGCTGAAAACGTTAGTACAGAGAAATGAATTATTTCTTTCGAATTACGATCTATTCAACTTAAGCTTAGAAGTTTTCTTCGTTCAATGTTTGTTATTGACACGTGATAAATTTTATATGATTAACTTTTTATATTTTTGTATGTAGCATTTTTTGAACATAATACAAACAAACAAAATGCCGAAAGTGCGTACACAAAAAACAACTCGTGTTCATAAAGAAGTCCAGAAACAAGGTACAATATTCTTTATGAGATAGATATATTTCTTTTTACAATGTAACAAATTTTTCCTATGGTAAATGTAATGTGTACTAATCTTTCAGGAATTTTGTTTAATACGGATATTGGACAGCATATTTTAAAAAATCCGCTTGTTATTCAAAGCATGGTTGAAAAGGCTGCACTTAGACCAACAGATGTTGTATTAGAAATAGGATCAGGTACTGGTAATATGACAGTAAAATTACTGGACAAAGCTAAGAAAGTAATAGCATGTGAATTGGATATCAGAATGGTAGCCGAGTTACAGAAACGTGTACAAGGCACACCTTATCAGTCAAAATTGCAAATCATGATAGGTGATATTTTAAAGACAGATTTACCATTTTTTGATTTATGTGTTGCCAATATACCATATCAAATATCATCACCTTTGGTATTTAAATTACTTTTACACAGGCCATTGTTCAGGTATGTTCATTTTGTTTAAAAACTTGTTTATTACTATTTGAGAATTATACATTTTTAACATACAGGAACTCTAAGGAGAAACAGACTTGATTAGCACATTATTTTCTGCAGATGTGCCGTGCTTATGTTTCAAAGAGAATTTGCTGAACGTTTAGTAGCAAAACCAGGGGATAAATTATATTGTCGTTTAAGTATAAATACTCAGTTATTAGCACGAGTGGACTTGCTTATGAAAGTAGGGAAAAATAATTTTAGACCACCACCAAAAGTGGAATCAAATGTAGTTCGAATAGAACCACGTAATCCACCACCTCCAATTAATTATCAAGAATGGGATGGTTTAACGCGAATTGTATTTGTTCGAAAAAATAAAACTCTTTCAGCAGCATTTAAACAAACTACAGTATTAACAATGTTAGAAAAAAATTACAAGCTTCATTGTAGTTTGAATAACAAGGTAACTATTGATATGACAAGTACATATTATAAGAATATTGGTTCAAATGTTAACAAATTTTTCATTTTATGATTTAGGAACTTCCCGAGGGATTTAACATCAAGAATATGATAAATGATATTTTGCAAAAAGCAGATGCTGAAAATAAACGTGCAAGAACTATGGATATAGATGATTTTATCAGGTATAATGGTTTTATGAACTATTTTAATAATTATGATTAACTTTGTAAGATTAATTATATATTAAAATTTTTAGCCTTTTACATGCGTTTAACGCGCAAGGAGTGCATTTTGCATAATTCAAAATATGAAAAATGTGAAAAAGCTGTGTATATAGTGTAAAGAAAATATAATTTTTTGAATAATTCAAAAGCATTATTTTCATTCTTTCACGTTTCATACATCAGAAGTATACAGTATTTTAAAAGAAAGAAAAAACAATATTATCTGTTATAAACTAATTATTTTATGATTTATATATAACATGTATAATTTTACATATAGCATTTCTAAATCTACATACTTTACAAAAAATTACGTAAGGTCTTAATTAAATTATTAGCTCATAACGTAGAGATATATTTACAAATTCTTTGGGAATCAAAATTGAAGGGAAATATAACAAAATTTGTTGTACCTTTATGAAAATAATGACGATATATATGTGTGTATATAGAATGTTTTGTTTTTTTTTCATATATTATTCAAAATTTAACATAAAAATTAACATCTTAAATTTAGTTCTTTTGTAAACAATTTATACAGTAGAAAAAATTATAAATAAAATCTGTGACTACGTCAATATTTTATACATAGCTTTGTAACACATGTGGAAGTTGTTTCTTTATTTAAAAATAAAGAAATAAAACAATTTTTCTTATAAAATGCAGTATGTTTTTGTTTAAGTGTTGCATTTCTACTCCCTTAAAATTGTAAAGAAATATTCGTAATAATCAATATTGGAAATTATGAATTCATCATGCTTTGTCGTTGTTGTATTTTATGTGCACATAATTGCTTAAATTCGTTAGAAATTTTCAATCAATTAGTAAAATTGTTCATTAAATAGTTTTAATTGAACCTAATAATATCATTCTGAATTTAAGCCAATTAATCAAATACATCGTTATTTTTATCGATTTTGATTTGGCGTTACCCTGAGAATCTTCTGTAACCCCTTGCAGATTTTCTAGGAGTTGCACACATTTATATCCTTTTGTAATTTTTCGAACCGGAATGTTTCAATGTTATGTATTTCAATCTTAAGCAGGATGTCGTCGAGTTAGTCGTGATCGATTTGATGAGCTATGTGTTCTACTACTAGATCGTCTTCTTTTTTTACTCTTGTGCTTATCTTTATGCTTCGATTTCTTTTTGTGTGTATATGATTTATTTGAATAATTACTGCATTGACTATGCGATCTAAAGTCTTCATCGGAATCTGAACTACTTACAATTACTTCTCTCGTCTTAGATTTAAATTCACGGTTTTTTTTTAATACATCTCTGGTTATCCAAGTACTATCATTATCACTCAGATGTCGTTGGGATTCTCGGCGCCTAGAGCTATCTCTTTTTTCTTTTCGAGAATCGTAAGAAGATACACTACTACTTCTAGATTCAGATTGTCGCTCACTCTTGTATCTTGATTCTTTTCGGCGAGACTGCTTTGTATCTGATACTTGTCTTGCTTTACCTCTTGTTCTAATTACTCTTTCACTTCTACCTGTATCAAAATCACTCGAACTAGTGGCGTATTTTCTTTTAGATTTTCGTGATGTGCGAGATTTTGCATTTTTCATAATTTCATCTGAATCACTGCTACTATTACTACTGAATGACTCATCATCCGAATATCGAGTTTCTTTCTTAATTAAATCTTTACGAACCCGTACAGTACCTTTCGTAGAATATTGCGAAGTTCTTGATTTTTTTTCATCCATCGGTTTTGATTCGATTTCGCAGGAACTGCTGTCACTACTACTACTACTTAATCTTCTTTTTGACGTTCGCTGAGTATTTCTTTTAGTTCCCTTTTTTCTAACGTCACTTTCGCCTGAACTAGATAAGTTTCTACTCGTTCGATTGCGGACTCTTGTTTCTACTGACCGGTTACGCTTTTTACCGCTGCTTTTTTTCGTACGTTTTCTAGTGTAATTTTGATACTTTCGAAAAATGTAATCACTATCTGAATCTGAATCACTTTCATTAGACGACGATGCTAATGTTCGTTTCTTAATGTTATGAGACGTACTGGGTTGGACGATATCTTCGTATGAAGCAGGCGTTGGAGCTCTAATAATAACATTAAATTATCAACCTAATTGTTATTGAAATCAAGTATTTGAAATAATATAATTTTACTTACTGAGTGTTATCATTTGATACATGGGAAATATTTATTTCCTCAGGATCAGATGAAAGCAATTCTATAATTTCTGGTGTTCTTTCATGACGAGGTTTCACATAACCAATTACTTCACAATCATTATCTGATATAGAAGAATCAGAAGAAATAGTCAATACATCTGGTACATTGTACGGGATATCTAACTGGAACGTTTGTGCTACAGTACTCGGACCTGATTGGAAAAAATATTCCACA